TATTTTTTATTTATTTATTTATTTTTTATTTAATTTTATTTATTTATTTATTTTTTCTATTTTTAATTTTTTTATTACCATAAACAGAAGATACTATATCTATTATTAGGCTTTTTCGTTTGAATCGAATTATTTCTATCTTTTTTTTCATTTGAAAAAAACCTATATAAAGATATGTATTTTTCAGTATCAATTGATTTAATAACGAACAAAATAAGAAAAAAAAAATAATATCTTTTTTTTTTTTAAATTTTAATAAAAAAAAAATAAAATTTTTTTTTTTAAAAAAAAAAAACACCATGACATCTATTTTCTGTGCTATATCTTATATCAAAAACATATCAGGCTCAAGTAAAATCTGTAGCGGAAGTGCAGTATATAGGACTGGATCCAATGATTTAATCAAATACGTGTTTAAAGCTTTTAGGTTCAGCAAAATAACGTTAGTAGAGGAAGTCACAAAAGGCAGCATATCGTTAATAATTGGCCGATTTATGTTTGTTATAGAAGAATTAAATGTAAAATAATAAATATATTTGTCATTACTAATTAATTAAAATAACCATTGCTAAAAATTATACAACCGAATCACGGTTATTACTACACATTTGTTTTTCTTTTTTTTGTTTTTTTTACTAAGGTTATGATCGAACAGAATACTCCCTTAAAATTCAAACTTTAGAAGATTACCCATCAATGTACGATCTCCCCATATCTCTGCCATTTGATATTTTCACAGCTTCAGTTCAAGACCCTAGCACTCCAGAAGGTGATAATGCTGCTTTCTGTCTAAAGAGAGAATCTTATAATAGCGTAACTGCGTCTCAAGTTACAATGTCCATTTTGTGTAAGTATGATCCCAAAGGTCATAATGCTAATGTAGCTGATACCACGAAATGTCAACCTATAATCTCAATCGCTAGTGAATTAGTATCGTTGAAAAGATCAGTATGTGTGCTAAGTAAAGTAATTGAATAGACTTATCCGAACCAAGGAAACTCTAAAACTAGCAATGATAAATCAATAAAAGATAAAAAATCAAGAAATAAAGAGTTAGAAAAATTAGTAGAAAAATTTAGTCCACCCCTAATAAAAAACAACCTCGCAATGTGACAAAGAATATAAATGAAGACCTGCAAGAAGAAAGCTTCTTGAAGGCAAAAAGATTGAAATCTGCTATAAACCAAGTCAACGAAATTAAAGGTAAGATGATAATAAAAAAATTAAAAATAGAAAAAATAAATAAATAAATAAAATTAAATAAAAAATAAATAAATAAATAAAAAATA